GAACAACCCTTGTGTGCTGCATCTCTCTGCGCCGCAGCACCCGGCACCGCGCTGCGAGGACGCGGCGCGGCCGCGCTCGCCTCCTCCCGAACCCGCCGGCCGGGTGGCGTGGGAAGGCGTCTGTGCTCCCAGACACCGGCCCCCGCTTCTCCCAAGGGCTAACGAGCTTCTCGACGGATGAATTCCGGGGATCGATCCCACCTGCGCGGCGGGAAGCGGTGCGATGGTGTTTCTGGAAAGGCGGGAGCGGTGAGGTTTCCTGGCACCGCGGTCCCGGGTGAGCACAGCAGCGGAGCATCCCACAAAGCCATCAGCTGAGCTTTTTAAAACCTAAGTGCTCATCATCTCCAAAGAGGTGCATTAACAAGTCCAGGCCTGATACCAAGGGGCTCCGAAGGCTGGCTGGAGCGTGGAAATGTGAGATGCCTCTGTCAGAGGGCAGCAAATTGGAGGAGGAGGAGTTGCTCGTACTTGTTTCTGTTCCAAATCCCCAAAGTGAGCAAACTCTTGGGATTTTTCCTGGAATCGTGAGCCACATGAGAGGAACCAGCTGTTACTTTGGCACATTGTGGAGGGAACCGAGCAGAGGTGTCACAAGCAAATGTTGCTGTAGCCCAGCTAGTCCAGAAGCCCAGGGCAGGTCACGAACTGCAAAGAGGAGGGATGCTGGAGACCAAAGAATGGCAAAAGGGTTATTCGAGGCCTTTGTTGCTCAGCCTGACAGACTGTTCTGAACTAGTGGAATTATTTCTCTATTTTAATGAAAAATGGGTGAAAATTAATGACAGCGCATGTCCCAGTGGATGCCTGACTTGTTTCCTCTCCCTGCATCCTCCGTGCTGTCCTGTTCTGCTGGCACAGGATGATGTTTAAGCAGCTGACCCAGCCCATGTGCCCTGACACTTCTCCAGGAGAGGAGGGCATCACATATTTTCTGTTTTTCCTTGATGCTCTCCTTCCTGTTTTCCCCATCCTCAGGAGTAGCCATCAGTTCTGGTCTGTAAAACCAAACCCAACCCTTCACAGTAGATGTGCGTTGCATTTTCAGAGCATAACCTGGCAACGAAAGGCCAAACAGAGATAAAACTGGATTCTCTTTTCAGGCACGCTCACAAACGATCTGCGAGAGCCAGGTTTGGTATTTTCTTTTTGCAGGCTTGTCTAAGTCCTTGTGAAAGCCTGTGGTGACCCATATGGGAGCTGGAGAGAGATGCCCTGCGTTAAGGTGTTGAGTCAACAGGAAAGCACGTCACACACACACACACATTATATATAAATACATATATCCTGGAGCCATAATGACAATCCTGTTTTCCTCCTGCAGGCTTTGCTCTATGGAATGATTATTCCTAATTATTGTTAGTGCTGATCTTGTTTTCCCCCTGGTGAATTTGATTTTGTGCAGTTTGCTGCTCCATTACCATAACGTGTCACTTTTAAAACCCTTTAATATTTCCCGAATTGCATCTCTGTGTAAATAGGAATATTACTTAGTATATTTATTTACTTTGAAAACCCAGCTCTTAGGTTTTCCAGACTGCTCTCTGCTGGTGCTCGCAACGTCTCTGGAGGGCTGCAATGCTTCAGGTTTCACAGTTGACCTAGAAAGATGCTGGCCACCCTTCTGGCCACCCCCTGTGGTCCTTTGCCTTCTCTGGGTCTGAAATGAAACTCAGCAGAGAAACTCCCTCCCGGCTGTAGACAAGCTTGCCAGCTGGGCGCTTGCCCTGCCCCGTGTACCTGCGCTCCGCAGCATTGCTCTTCTGAGCAGAAATATAAAATTTACAGAGCAGCTGGAGCTCTTGGTCCATGGTGGTACCGCCTTGTGATGAAGCCAGGGGCTTTTCATGAAGCTGTAGTCTAACATCTGTATCTGGACAATTTTGAGGCTACTCACAAGCAGCTCTTGCTTAAGCCACTGGTGAAGAACCTGCCCTTTTGCTTTAATGTCACAATGCCAACGTTTAGCACTAGCTATGCTATGTGAGGGCGTATCATTGGCTCACAGTGTTTGAAGTATGCACCATTCCCAAGCTCTTGCCTTTACCACACTGTTTGTTTTGGGTTTTTTGATTTTTTTTTTTTTGTGGCATTTCTCATATATGACATGGCCGAATACTGGGACAGACCATATATTATGGCTCTTCAGGGATGGCTCTGCTCCACCTTGCCACTCAACCATCTCTTACAACGTAGCAGTGTATGAATGATTACGTGGGCATAATGTGTTTTACATGCCCGTGGGGGCACAAGGAAGCCCGAAACGTAATGACATTCATGCAGTGGTGTAAGGAGGATGTAGCAGCACTGGCTGCGTGACCAGCTTCAGTTGGTAACTTTTGTTCCCACTGCTCTTCTCTGCAGGTGATGAGGTGGGAGATTTTCCTTGTGGAGAGGAGCCTCCTGCCAGGCAGTGCGAGAGCGGGACCACGTGCAGGGAGTACTGGCAAGGGCCCAACTACGGCATCACCAACTTCGACAACATCCTCTTTGCTGTGCTCACCGTCTTCCAGTGCATCACCATGGAGGGATGGACCGACATCCTCTACAACGTGAGTTGGCTGATGGGGCTGTAGGAGTGCCAGGGTGCTGTTACGCGTTGTGTTAGTTTGGAAAAGGTTGTTCTGGAGAAAAAGTTATCTAGTTTGTGCGTTTTTCCCCTATTGATCAGCACCTTGCCCTGCTTTTTAGGAAGACTGTTCCTATTTTCTTGACGGTTGTTCCGCAGGTCCTGTAAAAGCACTTGAACCACTAGTGTGGCTTGTGGTCATCTGAGGCTGCAGGCTTGCTTACCTGCAACGCGATGTCTTGTGTCAGTGTGGTGTTGCTATGTGTAAGAACTGGCGCGTGTTGCTCCAAGATGCTGGTGTGCTCTGCTGTAGGATGGGTGGGTGGGCAGGAGCATCTTCTTGTGATGTCCCACAGAAAATTGGTTACCAAATTGCACAATATAGGGTGGCAAAACCAGTGACTTGTTAATGTTTTGTACCTAGAGGTTTCCTCTCTTGACTGGGTCTAGCCTTCATGATCAAACTTGTAATCTACATCCATGAACAGCATCAGCTGGATGTTAGCACCGAGATCCAGTACTGGTTTTGGCAATTCCAATACAATTTTACAAAGCCCAGCAGCCACCTTCACACCTGGCATGTTGGCTGTAGAGAAGATACACCAGGCTGAATTTCCTCTTTGGGATCCTTGCTGGCTGTGCCTCCGGCCAGCCAGGACCACAACTGTCACAGCCACTCAAGGTCAAAACCTCTTGGTCAGTTTTACTATTTCAAATTTCACGAAGAGTAGGGCAACCTCACCCAATAACAACAACTGAACGACTCTGCTGTCTTTCAGGCAGTGTAATGCTCTTGTTTGAGTCTGTAATTTATACAGTGACAGCTGCTCTTCGGGAGCTGTTAGGGACCTGTGTATTGGTTGCAGACCTGCTCTCCCCATCTTTGTGGTTTGCTTAGATCTTCATGTGTTTCTACAGTGGGTGTAAAGTGCTATGGTTTGGGTCTGGAGGATGGTCCAGCTGTTTTGTACTTCCATTTTCCATGGTAGTAAAGGACTTTATCAAGTTCAGAGGCAGGAAGGAGAGAGCTAGTGGTGATGATTAGCAATGTACAGCTACACTGGCTGCTTCTTTCCGTTGACTGTATAAGGAAGGACAATCTGACAGCCGTGCATAGATGATCTGAATTGCCCCACGCTGGCCTAGCTAGAAGTACCAATGTGGAAAAATAACTAAGGTAGGCATTAATAATGCCTCCAGACCATTTCACTGACCGGTAGGACTACAAAGTGTTCAGTCTCCTTCATTATAGACTCTAGACCCATGCTGGGCTCTTTCGCAGACCTTCCTGTGAGGGTTTCTGTAGCAACAGGAAAGTGTTATTAATATCAACCACAGTAAATTGCAAGGGTACAATTCTGCTGTGCTTGAAGCCAATATATATGATTTATCACCTTCTTCATTCATAGCTCAGTTCCTCCATTTCTTCCCAATCTCTGCCCACTTAGAGTGACCTCTAGAAGGGCCCATTTCCCCCCTGTATGCCCTCCCCTCACCCTGAAACTTCATCACACAACCAGTTTCTCCCATTCTCATTCAGCAATCCTGCTCCGTCCTTCTAGTGCCAATTGTTGTAAGAAAAGCCCATTAGCATCCTGGCTGGAATTGATTAATCGATACGTGGTGTATTAGATCATCTTCTCCCAAACTGCCTTTTGTACCACATGCAAAAACCAGAGCTTACGATTGGGGTATTGATTTTGGGGGTTGCTTTGAAAATTATTATAGTATCATTCTAGATACCCATTAATCTAATTGGAAACAGATGCCTGGATGAGATGCAGTTGAGTATTTGTTCTATTATGTCAAGCATTTTTGAGACCCCAGCTTAGGTTTTATTGCTCGATGGGTTCATGTCTCTGACAGATACGAGGGTCTCCAGACAGTCTGCTTGTCGGGTGGAGGGTGAGTGGAGTGTGTCGTGCTACAGGACCACTCAGCAGACGGTGTTCGTGTAACTAGGGCCAGCAGCCATCTCTGCCCCCTCTCCCTTGGCCCTGCACACGGTGCCACCCCCTCTCCGGGCTGCTCTGCTCGCTGAGGAGCTGGCTGTGCTTTTGCAGGTTAGTAGCTGAGAAAAGTCGTGGGTGGAGAAGATCCACTCTGTGCAGCCCTTAGCTTTCTCACAGCTTCAGTCATCTGCTGTTTTCTGGCCACTTGGCTTTCATCTTGGTTTCTTCTGTGCCCACTCTAACTTTGTCAAACCTGAAAACGAAACAAAAGCCCAAACCACGCTGGAGCAATGACTGAAAACCTGATGCGGTGGGTGTTTGTGGATGCAGTTGTCTGTGCAGAGGTGACAGCAATGCACCCAGACCATCCTTCCAGCACCAGACAATCCAGCAACTGTGCATTAATGCTGCCTGAATCAGCTGGGTCCCTACTGGACCCACACTGGGAAGAAGCTGGAAGATGTTACATCTTGCCTACAGAACTTGAACAGTGGGGTGAGTGAGCATGTGTGAGGGTCCTTCTCCTTGGTTTAGGAGGACGGGAAGTAAGCCAGACAGCAGGTGGATGCCAGAGGTTATTTCAGGGAGCTTTGATTCACCATTTGGGTTCTCCACTGCTGAGGAGAATGTTTTTGACCAAGAAAATTTTGCAACGATGGACCTAGTTTCCCTGCCAGCCTCTGGTCTCCTCAAGGAAACCAGCACTCCTTGGTGCAAGATGCTCATCAGAGCTGCGCTGTGAACCTACTTTCAATGTGTTGCTTAATTGAGATTTGCGAAAGGCTGTGGGACCACTAGAGGCAAGATATGGACAATGTAAACTGTGAGTGTATGTTAGTAAGAAAAAAGGCTGGTGCTTTTTCCCCCCTGAACTAGAAAATGGGGAAGGTTGCTGTTCCTCAGGCTTAGCAGAGCCCTCCCCTCACCCCTGCCTTGGTGTGCCCTCCACCACGTTTTGGGTTGGTTTGGTTGGGGTAGGTTTGTGGCCTTGCTTGTGCCAACCCTCTCCCTTCCTGCTGTTCAGGCAGACAGCCCCACACCGGCGTTCTTAGGGCCGAAATCCCTTTGCTGCCAGGCAGTCTGGGACCGAGAGCCATTAGGGGAAGCTGAGGTTACCGGACTGCTTCCTTAATGGGCCATTCGTTTCCTCCTGAAATATGGTGATTGATTGATTGCTCTGCATCGATAGGGCTTTGTTATTGCTTCTCTTTTCCTGCTACCACATTTACTGGGGGGGTGGGGCGGTGTCAGAAGAATTAGGTAGAAGAATTAGGTATTTTAGCTTGCAGTGGTGATGGCTGGGGTCAGTCCCTTTACCAGTCCAGCATTAATTTAACCAAGGGAAATTGCTCTGTCCTGAAAGTAGATTTGAGACTGAAAAGTCGGTCTGTGGCAGCATTAGGCAATGGAAGGGTTTGGTGTAAACTGATGTTCAGGAAAGAGGGAGCTTGGGCTCGAGTTTGATGGTTTGGCTCAGGTCTTTCCAAAGCAAGAGCTTTGTTGTGAAGGGTAATTTAGTCATTTCCAAAGGATTGAGGTGACTTTATATGTGGTCCAGATGCAGTCTTCCTACAGATTTGGGGAAAAGCAGCAGCAAAGGCTGGGCTTTGCAGCAAGCAAATCTACCTTGCAAATATTCGCTCCTTCTGTGATAAATGGAGGAATTAGGAAGGCAGGGAGAAGGCAAGTTCACAAATCTCAGCTCAATTTTTCTTTGCTGATCCACTGTTTATATTTTCACAGAGTTTCATTTTAATTAGGGCCAATGAAAGCTTTCTAGCAAGATTTTATCTGGAAGGTGATTTATGCTTGAAGCAAAAAGACTGAATCATCAGTCGAGGGAAATGCTTTAAGAACAAGCTGGGGAAAACTCCCTCCTGAATCAGCAGCACAACAGCATCAGAGCAATTTCTCCAAACAAGTGCTTCTCTGAGCTGCAGATTTGTCAGCTGTGGCTTGTTTCTGCTCAAAAAGGTCTGAGGAGCAACAGGTGACTTAGGAAAGCTGCTGTGCCCTGAGGACAGGGAAGCACCTTTCCTCCAGAAAATAGGAGTGCACTTACCTCCTGATAATTCAAGGCTTCAATGTGATCTGGGAAATGCATTAAAATAGAGTAACTAAACTGTTTTCCTCCACGTGGGAGGACTCAGTGTCACAGTCTGGTGTTGTGAACAGTTCTTCAGCCTAATCCAGTGCAGCCAGACCAAAGATCCCTGAAGCACGGGCAGTGCATCTTCTGGCCTGTGAAATTAGGGAAAAACCTACGTAGAGCTCCAGCTGACGATGGGCAGCAAAGCTGCTCGAGTGCAACATGCTCTAGAGTGGCAAACCCAACTTTTTCTGCAACTGGGACTAGTTTAGTCCCTGACTGGTCCAGCAACAGTTGTGCCTCTCAGCAATGTGAAGCAGCCCCTGCACCGGGCTGTATTAATACGCTAAATATTACCATACTGCACTTGTTATCATGCTTTGAGCATAGCTGCCTGACAACAGCAGTGGCTGCTGGAGCTTGAGGATGTTAGTGTTGCAGAGGGAGGAGAATATTTCCAGTGACGGCCTCCAAGTTCCTGGCAAACTAAGGTGCAGAGTCTGGGTAAAGAGAACTGAGGCTGAGTATTGGAGACAAATACAGAGGTGGGAGGAAATAATGCAGATGCTCAGCAAGAGGAACTGGTGTCCTGGGATTGAAGTTGTTGTGAGTCCTGATCTTCCTCCAGATCTAGTTTTCAAATGAAACAATGGTATTTTAGATCATCTTGTTTACATGCTTGTGAGTGACAGTGATTTATCTACTGTATAGTGCTAATATGGGCTGTTTGAAGGTGTAAAACTTTTTAAAGAGGCAATAGTATAACTCCTGGTTTCCTCTTCTATAGCAGGAGTTCTCAGTTTTTCCCATGCAAAACCTTCTTGTCCATCTCTAAACACTCTCCTGCCTTTGATCCTGATCCCCATGGGAAGCTCACCTTGTTTTGCAAAGCAAGAAAAGCCTGAAAAGCCTTGTGCCTGCCCATGAATTCCCCAACTAAAC